TTCAACGCAGGGAAACCCCATACACTGGTATTGTGCGTCGGAAATTAATTGAAATTATGGCGAAGACTCCATATGCACAAAAATATCGAGCAGAATGGGTCAAAGATCCAGCTCTCAAGTGGGTTAAACCAGTGTTAAATGACAAAACAAGGGTGCAATGCAGCTGGTGTGCCAGTACCACTCTCAATGCACGTCTCGCTGATTTAAAGAAGCATGCAGAAAGTTCCAAGCATCTTCGATGTAAGGAGTCTTTCAACGTTATTCGACAGAAGAAATTAGAGACTGTGATTCCTTCTCAGGATTCTGTGGACAAAAAAAAAACAGAAGCACCACTGGCACTCTTCGTGGCTTGCCATACCACCATGAACGCTGTTGGCCATTTGAGTTGCCTTTGTGCAGACAAATTACTGGATGATAAAATGCCTAAAATTCAACTACAATGTACCAAATGTACTGGAATAATAAAAAATGTATGGGGACCACATTTTGAAGAGGAATTAAGAGATGACATTGGTACCAGCAGCTTCAGTTTAATACTCGATGAGTCAACTTATATTTCAGTACACAAATTTCTAGGTGTCGCAATACGGTTAGTTAATTATTATATGTCATCCAATAAATATGGAATTGATACTGAGGGAAGAGCTAAAATAAATGATGAATATAAATTTTCAGATATTACAGTGAGAAACGAGGAAGGATAGGCTCAACTTTCCTNCAGGACTTGAAGAAGTAATGGAGGACATAGACATTGACGATATTGAGATGGAGAATTCAGAACGAGAGGAAGATGGAGATAATTCGGAAGAAATAGAGGCGGTGGAAATGGAGGGAGAGCCCTCCAGAATCTGTTAGCACAGGCTTAATATAATTCAAAAACGGCATTTCCCGTTCTTATTCCACTATCCTTGATGAGCTATGAGTACCTTCGTAATATACAACTGATGATTATTGTTAAAAATCTAGTCCATAGCTTCTTGATACACTTCAATTTTTGAGAATTGAAGGGTATCAAGAAGCTTAAAAGCTTAAGCTTAAGAATTTAAGTCATTAATTTAACTCATTGGTTGCGTTTCGAAACGCGCACATGAACCCACCTATGGGGCAGCCCCTTTAAAATAACCCCGAACGTCTCATTTCAATCCGCCTTAAGGCTTTCGTCAGTGTTCCAAACAATGATGGTAGAGCTGCAATGGTAAGAGAAAGTGCCTGAAAAATTTCAACGCAGGGAAACCCCATACACTGGTATTGTGCGTCGGAAATTAATTGAAATTATGGCGAAGACTCCATATGCACAAAAATATCGAGCAGAATGGGTCAAAGATCCAGCTCTCAAGTGGGTTAAACCAGTGTTAAATGACAAAACAAGGGTGCAATGCAGCTGGTGTGCCAGTACCACTCTCAATGCACGTCTCGCTGATTTAAAGAAGCATGCAGAAAGTTCCAAGCATCTTCGATGTAAGGAGTCTTTCAACGTTATTCGACAGAAGAAATTAGAGACTGTGATTCCTTCTCAGGATTCTGTGGACAAAAAAAAAACAGAAGCACCACTGGCACTCTTCGTGGCTTGCCATACCACCATGAACGCTGTTGGCCATTTGAGTTGCCTTTGTGCAGACAAATTACTGGATGATAAAATGCCTAAAATTCAACTACAATGTACCAAATGTACTGGAATAATAAAAAATGTATGGGGACCACATTTTGAAGAGGAATTAAGAGATGACATTGGTACCAGCAGCTTCAGTTTAATACTCGATGAGTCAACTTATATTTCAGTACACAAATTTCTAGGTGTCGCAATACGGTTAGTTAATTATTATATGTCATCCAATAAATATGGAATTGATACTGAGGGAAGAGCTAAAATAAATGATGAATATAAATTTTCAGATATTACAGTGAGAAACGAGGAAGGATAGGCTCAACTTTCCTTCAACTGATTAAACTAGAAGCCGGGACTGCTGATGCAATTGTTAAAGCCATCGAGGACGTAATTGGAAACTTTAAACTGGACATGAAGAAGCTAGTGGGGATAGGGATAATGCGTCAGTTATGGTAGGCGTAAATAACGGGGTCCATCGAAAGCTGCAGGAAAAGTACAATCTGCCATCGCTCGTCTTATGCAGATGTATTTGCCATTCTCTTCAGTTGGCGGTGTCAACTGCTACCGCAGAAACATTACCGAGACATTTGGAGTACGCAATTCGTGAGACGTATAATTGGTTCAGTCACTCAACTTTTCGACAGAAAAATTATGCAGTGGTGTACCAACTGATCAATGATGGAGCTAGTCCACTCAAAATTCTTCCATTGAGTGACACTTGATGGCTTTCGATCCAAAGAGCCCTTGATCGGATTTTAAATCAATGGATTGAGCTCAGGACTCTTTTCGAGATGGCACGAAGATCAGAGGGGTGTTACACTGCCGAAGTTTTATATAAAATGTACGAGGATCCTGTGAATGAAGTTTATTTGACGTATGTGTATAATGTGGTCAGCGAAGTTCAGGTAGTCAATAAAGCCTTCGAGGCTCAATCAACCGATCCTTCGAAGCTTCTGGACAGTCTTCAGCAACTGCTCAAGTCTATCTCGTCAAGAGTTCTTATTCCATCGAGAAAAGTAAACATTTTCGTTGATGACATCTCCAAGCATCTGGATCCTAGTCCCTATNAAAAATCTAGTCCATAGCTTCTTGATACACTTCAATTTTTGAGAATTGAAGGGTATCAAGAAGCTTAAAAGCTTAAGCTTAAGAATTTAAGTCATTAATTTAACTCATTGGTTGCGTTTCGAAACGCGCACATGAACCCACCTATGGGGCAGCCCCTTTAAAATAACCCCGAACGTCTCATTTCAATCCGCCTTAAGGCTTTCGTCAGTGTTCCAAACAATGGTGGTAGAGCTCCAATGGTAACAGAAAGTGCCTGAAAAATTTCAACGCGGGAAAACCCCATACACCGGTATTGTGCGTTGAAAATTAATTCAAATTATGGCGAAGACTCCATATGCACAAAAATATCGAGCAGAATGGGTCAAAGATCCAGCTCTCAAGTGCCATCGCTCGTCTTATTCAGATGTATTTGCCATTCTCTTCAGTTGGCGGTGTCAGCTGCTACCGCAGAAACATTACCAAGACATTTGGAGTACGCAATTCGTGAGACGTATCATTGGTTCAGTCACTCAACTCTTCGACAGCAAAATTATGCAGAGGTGTACCAACTGATCAATGATGGAGCTAGTCCCCTCAAAATTCTTCCATTGAGTGATACTCGATGGCTGTCAATCCAAAGAGTCCTTGATCGGATTTTAAATCAATGGATTGAGCTCAGGACTCATTTCGAGATGGCACGAAGATCAGAGGGGTGTTACACTGCCGAAGTTTTACATAAAATGTACGAGGATCCTGTGAATGAAGTTTATTTGACGTATGTGTATAATGTGGTCAGCGAAGATCAGGTAGTCAATAAAGCTTTCGAGGCTCAATCAGCCGACCCTTCGAAGCTTCTGGACAATCTTTAGCAACTGCTCAAGTCTATCTCGTCAAGAGGTCTTATTCCATCGAGAAAAATAAACATTTTCGTTGGTGACATCTCCAAGCATCTGGATCCTAGTCCCTATCTGGGTTATGCATTCGAGAAACCCTTGAGGGAAGCCAAGTGTGATGAGCAAGCCAAGAAAGTTGTTAAACAATGATGCATTGATTTCACTGTTAAGCTCTGTAGAGAGCTGCAGAACAGATTGCCATCAAATTTCACTCTGCTGCAGAAGATGAATTTGCTGCATCCCTCTGAAGCACTCAAGTCTCGAGTTCATAAATTACCTATTACATCACTAGCTCGAGAATTTGAAGTCGATGATGCAATTATCTCAAAAATCGAGACTCAGTGGTCTAATTTATCAAATCAGACATGGTTGAATGCAGATAAGTCTTTAGAAGAATTTTGGGTGGAGGTCTCTCGATACACTGATGCTTGTGGGGTGAATACTTTTGACGATCTTGTGAAATTGGCGTTCAGATTGCTGAGTTTGCCAATTTCCAACGCCAAAATAGAGTCTTCAGCCAGATGAACTTAGTAAAAACCAAGTTGCGCAATCGTCTCATTCTTAGCACAGTGAATGCTATCCTTTCGATTACGGTTTGAGGACAGATGAGAAATTTTATCACTCTTTTGAGGTCCCAAAGCAGGTACTGAAGATTGTAGGCACGAACGCTACGTACAAGAACGATGAAAATTCGCAGGTGAGTAATAACGATGGCCTGTCTGATGTTCTGAACGAGTTTCAACATTTTCAGTTTGGGAAGAAACCTCAGGAACATATATTATTAATTTCCAGTGTAAAATGGTGTTCTCTAGCATCATTTATCTGTCAAATAGCATGTAATTGTTTTTAAGGTTAAATTTTATAAACAAAAGAATTATATACGAAAAATATTGATTAATAAATATCATCTCATTGAAAAAAAATCTGGTGACTTTCAGCCGAAAAAGTAGATTTCTCTAAGCAGACTCAGTGACGAGCAGGGGTCGCCAGCTGGCAACCCTGTGTTACGGTGGCACGCGGTAAGGTGAGTGTAACACCATCGTAACTGAATTTGGCTATCTGGGATGGACCTTATGACCTTGTCTCATGATTCCGTACAAATTAAGAAAGGTAATTATTAACCACTCACGGACGAAGCCCTTCTGTTACCAAGCTTAGTGTGTGCTCAATACGACTCGAATTCGATTATTTGTAATGAAAGGAGAATTATGAAACCGGTATCTAATTGAAGCTACAGTATTTTGGTTTCTAATTTTGTTTGTCTGATCAAGTTATTCTTCATAGATTTGGAAACAATCCATTATGAAAACAAGCGTTCACATTCGCACGGGTCGATACCATACATGGACCCCGTACGTGAAGGGTGACTGGTCATAGGACAAAGCGATCCCATTCCGTGCAAAAATACCCATTTTTGAAATCAACTCATGATAGTAATTGTAAGAAAACATTGATTTAATTTCAAAATACAAAATATCGTTTATTCAAATATCAAATTCAAGTTTATCAGTACCGTAAAATTGTTCACTCTCTTCCTTCCTCAAATGTCAATGAGTCGATGGTATTTAACCGATAAATACAATTATAACATCACTTCAATTACAAAGCAGACCAAAACTTTAGATAACACATAACATTATTTGATACATAATTACAATTATTTCCCCAAACAATCTTTCTTCATCTCGAGGATTCTCTTGAAAAATAAAAGGATAAAACAACGGAATCCGTGAGGAAGCGATACGCAAGTCGAAATGGACAATATACCAAGAAATTTTTTTGCAGTTCACGGCATTCTCTACAAAAAAAAGTCTCGTGACATTTTCAGTTGAAATCGCCTAATCGACAATGGATTCATTAATTCGGTCTCAATAGCCAAGGGAATCAGATAAAGCTGTCTCAATCAAAGCACCGTCTTCAGAATATTCCCTTAGAGTGTTCGGAATTCCTTGCAGAAAAACCCTTGTCATTTACCCCCTCCACCGTTCATACGTCGACCCTTTTCACCATTTGCTCGCTCAAATCCTCAAACCACCTACACACTAAAATTTCGGAATTCCCCTGAATTCTCCAATCCATAATGCTTACAATGACCGTCATAACTCCCCTCCCCACTTCCATCTAGTTCCCCACAGGCCCCAGAAATCCATCTCAACATCATCCTGATCTTTTCAGCTTCCTCATCATTCGCCTTGAGGCCCTGGATGGCCGCATTCAGGCATTCAGGCAAAAATCTTGTCACCTCCCCAGGTAAATCTCTCCTGAAAATAGCTACACATTGATCGCTGAAATTCTCAATGCCCAACAGCTTCTCTCTTAACAGCCTATCAATTAACTTTCCAAATTTGTTCCAACAATGAGAGTCACAAGTCGGCATCAGCCACTGAACATTCCTACAACTCAAAATCCCCCCAAACAGTTTATTATTTCCATCCTCGGCCTCATAATCCCTCCAGATATCAATAAACTCATCCAGCACTGCATCAGTAAACAGGTAGTGATTATGAACAATCAAATGAATTGCATAATCAACACTCAAAACATGAATCGTCTTTTCGACAAATGCCTGAAGATCCTTTCTCTCATGCAAGGTCTTCTTTAAACCTCCCAAAATTGTCAGAACATGCTCTTCGGTCAATACCGACCACTTTCCATTCTTCTCAATCAACTCCCACATTGAGTCTCTTATCATATCAATTATCTGCGTAGGACTAGGAGCTGACGGATTATGAACACATTCGTTGATACCTTTCACCTCCTCCTTTGGGCTAAATGCTAAATATTCTGAGTGAATTTGTTTAGAATTCACAGCGTCATTGATATAAAAATCCAACCACTGATCGATTCTCTCAATCGACAATCTCATACAAATCTTGACACACATTTCCTTGACAGCTGGATGTGTATCCTCTGACAGCAAAGGAATGAGTGCCTCCGTGCACTTTTTCTTGCAGAGTTTCGGAATTATCTCATTACAGCAATCGCGTAATTCTTGGATGATCAAAGCAACTAAATCGGGAGAATTTTCAGAGTTCATGAATTGTTGGTAGACCTGTTTTTCTTTACGCATGTCAAAGTCTGGAGTATTCTTAATCTTTTCCACTGCTAATTTTCTGAACATATTAAAGTGCTTCAGTTTTATCGAAGGAATTGATTCCCTACAGATTTGCTTAACAGAATTCGAGGCAATCCTCTCTGAGACAAAATCAACAGTCTTTTTGACTGAGTCCGGTTGTCCATGGAAGAAAACATCTTCTTGTTGAAGTTGCAAAGTCTTGGCCTTGGTTTCACTCGATGGCTGAGATAATTGAGTAGACACTGGAGTTATATGACGATTAATATTTCCAAAATTACAATTTCCTGATATTAACAGGATCTTAAATTCTTTCAAGAAGGGACAGCAGGTAATGATTGCTCTGTCATCAATCAATTCCAATTTATCGAGGGGAACATCTGATTTCTTAGGACTCACAGACACCAGAGAGTCTTCAAACCCTTCAGAATGATTGAAATATGAAGCGATTCGATCTTTTATCCTTTTATCATTAAAATTCAATTGCCATGTGAAGTAAAGATCCTTGGGAAAGTTTGGGAGTTCGAAAAGACGTCCTAGGGTGAAAGTAATCAACAGTGAACCCTTTGGACTGGTCAGTAAGTGACAATTCCTATAGATGTAGTAGAGAATTTCACAGAGTTTTGTATAATAGGGTAATCTAAACGCCACTGGATCCAATACTGCTAGATACTCCACCATCCAGGGAACTGTCAACGTTAGCTTTCTATCAATAAATGCATTGAACAATGTCTCTTGAAGGTTCAATGAAGGATTAACTTGTCTCCTCAGAGAAATCTGGGTATTTCTCCCAACTAATGTGACGGACTCTGATTTAAATGGAATTGAGACTAAAAATCCTAAGAATTTTGACAAGAGCCGAAGACTGGTGATGCAGACGAGGTAATTCTGTTTCGTAGTCTCGTCCACATTTGTTTCTCTTGCTTCGAGATCACTCATTGTAAAAGGGGTAGAATTTAGATCTGTTATCTCTTGGATGAAGCAGTTCTCGAGGATTGAATTGAATTTTATGTTCGTAGAAGTGAGGAGGAAGTCTCGGTAGAACTCTTGAATACCAGGGAAGGAAGGGAGGGGAACTGTACCTTCTGAGGAAAGCGGAGTGACAAAACGTCCTTGCAGTTGCTTGAATTTCTCCAAGTTCATAGATTTTAGGGATTTTAGGAGTGAGAGGGTTTCATCGTCGATTGGATCCTCTGAGGGGTGTTGAAGGCACGAAGTGAGGAGTTGGGACTTGAATAGGCGGGCCAGGTGGTAGTAGTTGACGGCGTCATCGTGGAGGGTAAGAAGAGAGTTTATCTTGCGTTCTAAGGCAGTGGAAAAACACCAGTTTGGAGCCTGGTGTCGATCCTCCCAGATTTTTAAGGATTCGTAGAAGAGGTCACGTTGCATTCGAAATTTTGAAAAGGCGATGGTCGAGGGGAAGTTCTCGCGGTTGTCTGTCTCCATTTGGAAGCAGACATTGGAGCTGACTGTCCTGAAATTGAGAAAATGGAGGATTATTGACTGAAGAGATGAATTTTGTGTACATAGTTTGAGATCACGTATGAAAAAATCTAATAGAAAACCTTAGCGAATTCACTGGAAAATTCTATTAAAATTCTCTGGAAATTCTATGAGGATTCTATTAAAATTGTAGGGAATTCGCGCTAAAATTCTGTTTGTTTCTTGGGCGAATTCTATTAGATATTTGATAGGAAAAAGTCAATAGATTTCGAGTTTTCTGTTTGAATTTTTCTCTTGCGATTTTCTCTGTTAAAACTATTAGGCACAAATTTTCTGTTTTTTCCGCTATATTTTGTTTTATTTTGCATTACAGGATCTGAGTGAAAAAAACCTAGAAAATTCATACTCAAGTATTCTTATAAGAAAATTCCAAGAGAATATTCATATAGAAAAATGGAAATTTATTGACCTTTCCCTATCAAATATCTTATAGAATCAACGCAAAAAACAAACAGAATTTTTACGTGAATTTCCTGGAGTTTTAATATAATCCCAATTGAATTTCTAGACAATTCCAATAAAATTTTCCAGCGAATTCGCTAAGTTTTTCTATTAAATTTTGTCATGTGTGATATAGTAAGGGAAGACATACAGAGAAAAAATAAAGAGAATTTTACTTATAAGAAAGTCGTTTAGCTTTGGAAAATGTCTGTCAACATGTTTTCCTGAACTTGATAGGCATAAAAAATTAATTGTCTACGGACACACTGGAATCACTCATTACTCCACATTTTCTCTTGATTGTCATTTCTATATAAACGCATCCCGCGATATTTATTCAATGCAGTATTTTTTTCGGAAGCTTATGCATAAGCGTAGCCCAGCAGAATCCTCAGTTCTGCGATGGGTGTAGATTTGGGCAAGAAATGTCATGTCAGTTGTTGGTGTTTTTAGACTCGCGTTGTTTCACTCCATTGAGAAATCAACATCGTTTATTCTTCAATGTGAGCTATGGAGACGATACGTGAAAACATTACCCGATTTTCTGATAAGTTCAATCAAAAAGAAACTACAAAGCTTTTGAAGAAAAAATTTTTTCAAAAATTTTTACATTTCTCCAAATGTTTACATAAATTTTTCGTTGAATTGAATCGCACAGAATTTCCATCGTACGGTTATGAATTTGTGCTGAGGATGATACCATAAATATGCAACATTAATGCTGTATTTTTAATAGAAGGTGTATGTAACAATGGAGATGGGGTGATAAACCACCCCAGAGGGAATTAAAAGGTTTTCTCCGCGTAGACGGATTATCACACGAATGAAAAAATTTAGTAGAACAACCTAGCGAATTAGCAAAACAATTCTATTGGATTTGTATTGAACTTTCGATTAGTTTTTGCCCGATTCTGTTCAAATATTCAATAGAATATATTCTATAAAAAAAAGTCAAAAGAATTCGATTTTTCTATACAACATATTGTATTGACCCATTTTCTATAGAATTTCCTCAGCTCAATTTTTTCAAGTTTTTTTGTCTGATTTTCTTGATGAGAAGAAAAGAAAAATGGAATGAAAAAAACTTAGACAATTTGAACTCAGAAAATTCTATAGAAAATATCTGAAGAGAATAAGTTATATAAAATTCTATTGAATATTTTCTATTGAACAGTTCAGTAGAATCGGCCAAAAACTAATAGAAAGGTCAACAGAAGGCCAATGGAATTTTCTAACGAATTTGCTAGGTTTTTCAATTAAATTTTTTCGTGCGTGCAAAAAAGAATTTATAAGTGTCTAACAGGAAAAATTCATAAATACCTCAGGTCATTCTCTTTGAACTGATTCGATTCCTGCACCTTTTTATCATATAGTTTCCCTAAATAATCCCTCAACTCAGGTTTAAACATTCCAATTTGTTGATTATCGTACAGCAACTTGATCGTAGCTCGATCCAGCACAACCAGTAAGTCCCTCTGGTGATACAGAACACTTGTTGCGAAATAAACGCAATTGTGTGATGTATCTAAATACTTTGTCTCTTGTTTTATCACCTCCTCACCTAAACAAACGCAAGATTTTTCCGCTATTAATTACCCGAATCGATTTTATTTTTTATTCGAAGAGAAATTGATTTTTTAAAAATGCTTACCTATACTCTCTTCAATATCCTTACACCCCATAGTTTCCTTCAACATCTTCAAGGTCATCTGCTCATTTCCTTTGTACTGTGATGTAATCAACGTCATAATAAAATATAATTCAGTCATGACATTCGGCACTAAATTTCTTCTAATCAAGTTTGCATAAAGATCAGCCAATTTATCTACGGCCATTACATTATTAACGAGAGATAATTTGGGAGCCACAGCAGAAACTGACGAATGAATTCCCATCAGTTTCGTTGTTTTCTGCTCCTGAACATTAGGAATCTCACTCACAGAATCAACTTTTGGCTGTCTCTGTCTCTCCAATTTCAATAATTCCCTCTCAGCCTCAAAAGTTTTGATCTCCTCCGACTTGTCGGTAGTTTGAGCCTCTGAAAACTGAGGATTCTTCGTCTCTGGACGAGAAATGACCCCGAAGACTTTATTCTGGATGTTCCCTTCCTCTCCAGTTACTTCTAATTTCGTTGGTTTTATCCTTCTCTTCCTCGATCTGTTATCATTCTTCTTCTGGCTGGAGTTGCCTTCGATATTCTCACCTGAAGTGTTATCGACACTTGTCTCTGATTGATTCCTAGAATTATTTCTTTTTGATGATTTCTTCGATGAAGTCACGAGGAAATCTCCTAATTGTATTGTTGTTTTCCTCTGTCCACTATTATTCTGTTTATCGTTTGGAGAATTACTTTTGTTTTGCGAAGTGTTTGGATTGCTTTTATTGTTCTTTTGGTGATTCCTCTGGGGTTCTCCAATACTAGGAAAGTTTCTATCCATGTGAAGCGAGGTGTTCAAAGGAATTAGAGGTCCTCGAATTGGTCCCGAGTATAAGGGAGAAACTGGAATAAAAGGAATGGACATTGCAGAGGAGTTTGACATGTTGGAGTCTATTGAAGCGTTCATGAAGCTGTTGTCTAATCTTGAAGAAGTTGAAGGGTGATCCAAGATGTTCCTCGTGAGGTTTTGATGGCGATAGATTGGACTGGAGTGGAGAGAGCTGTTGAAGCTGACTGACCGGTTTTCAAAGCTTTCCCCAAGGGTTGCAGGTGTCTTCAAGGGAGTACTCGTGTGACAGGTGAGGTTCAGGTGGTCTGAGGGGTTTGAGGAAACGAGTTTGGTAGTGTCAGGTACTTTTTCAGGGGTTTTGGGGATTATTTCTTTGGGGAGGGAGGCGGGCTCGCCTTCTGATAATACATTTTGGATGATCCTGAAACAGAAGAGAATGATCTCAACGAACTATTTCATTTAACATGGGATATAATAAAATTAATCGTCTGTTGGGGATAATTGGTTTTCTTCAGGAATTCCAGATATAAATATAATAATTTTCTAAATACTTTAATTGACGAATCTAAAGTTATTCGAAGATTGATGCTTGGCTAGTCAATGTTAAGAAATGAAAAACGGTGCGCTACGGCATCTATCTCCTATGGTGACCAATCTAGGGTTGATAGATATTGGAAATGGGATAATTTAAATAACCAAACCGGTAAATAAGTCAAAAGAAACTTCATTACTTTGCCTTAATACGCTCGGAAGACACATTCGCTCTTTACTCATTCCTCGGAGGAACTAACTAAATGACAAAGGGATACAATGCCCTGGATCTCTGGTGACGTGCATTCAATAGGTCCCATTCATTCAAGTCAGTTTAGACTTTAAAACCAAAGTATAAACATCACAGCCGACACTACTCAGAATTTTCGTTCATAAAAATGTTATTCACACCCGAGTATAAATATAGAGAAAAAAATATAAAATTAATTTTGGCTTCGTATTATTTCAACCAGAACCCTCCCGACCGGGTTCCCACCTTGTCGTTGGTGGGGGGGGGGCTCGATCGCAGGCAGTGGGAGTTTAAAGATTGCTAGCGTCCGCGATTGCTAAGAGGGACCTAGCCAAATTCACGGTGTGAGCCTGGCGTATGCCAGTATATAACCTGTGACGAAATTCCAGGTGAATTCGTCACCTGCGGAACTCCAGGGTACTTATGTATAGAAAGTGAGAGACAGAGAGTAAAAATATATAAACCGTTACCTTTTCTTCGCGATAAAAATCTATACGGAAGATTAGAGCTACCTGCTACCTTAACTCTACTTCAGAGCTACCTTAAGTTCGGAGAACTACTTAAATTGGTTACCTATCGCGTGAATCGATTCCCTAAATTTTTAGAATAATATTCATTAAATAACTTCATTAAATAAACCAGATATTTTGCAGATATTTCTTTTTTCGAGTCAATTTTGTTGAGTTAAAGTTTAGTATTTTTGAGATTTTCCTACGTAAATTCGGTTAAGGATCAGGATATCACCGTGGAATATTTGGCCAAGATAATGTGCTACCCAGTGTTTCCTGTAACCCTTTTTGGTTTGTCGATAGAGTGAGTACATAGGTCGAGTTGAAATCCTTGCGCTCCCTTGAGCGAGTGTTAGGGCTTTCAGTTGGAAAGCCGTGGAGACGATGACCCAGTCGTCGAAACGGATCGCCATTGGGTTTTTAATTTAGTTAAGTTGCGTTTGCGTTTGAGTTTTCGTTGGTAAAGCCCTAATTCCTCTCCGGAGAGTGCCCTCTGTAGATAAGCTACCTTATTCCGGTCGTAGATGGAGTGGAGATCCGTTCAGCCATCTTAGTTTCGCGTTAAGTTCAAGTCATTACAGTTTTGTTCAGTTAAAATAATTAGAATCAATTATATGAAAATTCAAATTTAAAACCTTTAAATATGTCGCGCTCAATTACCCCGGGAATCGATAGTTCACATCTCCAACACTCGAGTCAGCACCGTACGGGCTAGTCTCCCCCAGACTCCCCACCACTATGCAACAGGCCCGAGCGGACACACGCGATAGTCGCCATTACAGTATCCACCCGGACGACTAAGAGTGAGGTACGAGTCGATTTAGCTCCCTGAACAAGTTCTCTTTCGAGGTAATTATCGAGGCCCCGTGATCCAAATTCAGTCAAAATCAACGCTCCAGACCATGGTAAGTACTCGTGTACTTATTTAGNAATGACGCCAACACCGATACTCATGGTTTGAAGGGTAGAAAACCTTCCAAACGAACCCAAATGCTCCCTCGAAGCTACCTGAAATTATCTAAATGATAATTACGCTACCTGAATAAATCCAAATGGTAATAATGCTACCTACCGTAACTTTTGGGATAAATTTCATGCTTTATGCGTCTCGCTACGGCGATTGATGCAACTCGCTACCTGCTTCATTGCTACCTTTTTGCTTGCTACCTTTTCTCGCTCTCTTTACGTAATTATTCTACGCAACCTATTTCTTTATATTTCTCAAACTCAAACGAGTTTTGGTAGAAAAATTAGGCTACCTGAATTGCTCTTAAGCTACCTTTTATGCGTTTTAATGCTCTCTAGCGTTCGTTGAGTTTTTTATTCCGGTTGGGCATCGGGACGCTATCTTTTTAGTTATCTTTACTTTTAGGGTTGGAATCCCGAACAATAAAATTATTTAAGCTCTCTTACGGTAATGAATAAGCTACCTATTATTTTAGAAATCATTGGAGACCGTAACCTACCTATTTCCCTGGAGAAAACCTCAATTTCCGGGCTAGAAATGCTCCCTTCCGGTAAATTAGCCCCGTGGCTGATTCAAGCTCCGTAGCTCATTTTGCTACCTTTTCGGTGAATGAGATTCCCGATTTTAATGCGTTTCAAATGGCGTAAGAGTTGGGGAAACCATTACAAAGGCGCTCCAGAATTCGGAATTCGATTAATTACAGTCGAAAATAAGAAAAATTAGTACCTTTTCGTGAGCTCCCTTTTTTATTTCGCGTAGCTACCTCATCCGTTCTCTCTCGCACGTACGCTACCTTCCTATAGTCTCTCTCTCGGATTCGTGTTCCCCTCGTGGACAATACCTTTGCTTCTCTCCATCAGCTTTGGATTGGGATCGCTTTCTTTTTCATACTTAAAATTATTATTCACATATTTTCGAGTCTTCTAAATTTTAATGGACCTTCTTTAGAATAATTGAGATTATTTCAAGTCACATCCATATGATTTTGTATTTACAAGAGTTTACGATTTTATATTAATCTCGGCAATAGCGAAACACGTCAGTACAATTATGTTTATTATTCAATATCGACCTTACCTATCCCGTTTAGAATTTAAGACATTAGTTTATTGGTTTCTCGATCGATGATTGGCTTTGTTAATTGATGTTCTCGTCCACGAATCCACCCCTCTCTCCACGACCCGCACACTGAGCAGCCGAGTAAATCCTGTACCCTCGTAATCCACATTTCTGCGTATGGTTTGTGATATGTTTCTTATCGTTATTGGATTTTTGGGGACAATCAGTATTTAGTTTTAAGAAAATACGGTTCCGTTTGCGGTTTGTCGATTCCGCGTTGCTAAAAAATCGGCTGGCGCCCTTAATACACAAAGTAAGGATTGGATGAGCTGCTGATTGTTCCCGGAGTCCAGTCTTAGCGTTATGGTTTTTGGCGTTTCAGACTTGTCGGATTACGAGAACGAAGGTAATGAGTTGGCCGTGTTTGGATAATCGAGAATTTTGGGTTAGGGTCTATTGAGTATTTGTTGAGGCCAAAGAAAAATCATTACAAACCACAGGGTTGTATAACCGTCCCAAGGGATGCGTGGCACAGGGGAAGCTCTGTCGATAACGGTGCCTCTCGAGACCGGACGACCTCAGAGAGTAGTCTTCGGACAAGCCAAGCCCCGACAAACCGCACTGACCGGGTGAGACCGCTCTTCCGTATTAGTCGTGGGACCAAAAATGGAAACCGAAATTAAACTCTTAAGTATAAAAGGGAATCCTTTGGGTGGGGCCAGCACTGACGAACTCTTGGAAAAGGCCGCAGCAGAAGCAGCTGACTGGGAAAGTTGCGAAACTGGAAAGGTCAGGTTGAGCGGAGCTGCTAAGAAGAAGCTCAGAAGGCTGAGACAACAGCAGACCTCGGGGGCTCTAGAAACCTCGGTCGAGGCTGCCTCCAAGACTGAAGTGGGAGGTACACAACACGCCCAGTCCTCACACTAGGCCGAAAGAGAAGAAACACAAGAAGCGGGATCAGGGCACATATGCTAAGATTACCGCCAACTCAATCAAACTGACAGTGATACCTCAGGCGTATCCGGACCGGAAACTGGATACCGGAGGGATGACAGAGATGAGGAAGCTCCTGAAGGGAGCTATCTTAGCCCTACCGCATGGAGTCAATCCACCCACCTTCGATGGGGTCTGGGAGAGGGACGGTGCGGTTGTGGTGAACTGCACAGATGAGATCACAGGAAATTGGCTGAAAAGCCTATCTCCTGAAAAAACAATAAGTAGGCACACCATACACGTTGTATCACTCTCGGAGCTTCCAAAAAAGCACCGGATAGTGGTGCACGTGGAGGATCCAGACATCACTTCTCAGAAAACATTGTGCTTCCTTGAGAAGCAAAACAAGGGTTTGATGGCCAGCACGTGGGTTGTAGTTCGGGACAGTGAAACTAGGGACGCTAAAAGTGCCTATTCCGCTGCGCTGATCGACGACAGTGCGCTTGCGAGTCGGAAGGCCCGCAACTTCCGACCTCACTGTGGGCTGCAAAAAGCAACCGTAAGGCAGCTTGGGAAGGAACGCAGTGGAAAAAAGAAGGCAGATGCAACGGAGGTGCCTGAATAATAGCTCTTATGGCCACGACTCGGGTGCATATTGTGGAGATTAACTTGCATCACAGTCAGGCAGCCTCGGCGACATTAATCAGGCTGCTAGCTGGGATACAGACAGCAATAGCATTGATCCAAGAACCATGGATCATAAATAATGCTATCAAAACACTGAGTGGAATTAGCAGGATCTATCATGCCGACACTCAGGACAAACTCAGAACTTGCATAATAACTAAGGGGATAGACTTTTTTCTGTCCACCGATCAGCGGAGGAGACCTAACTGTGGCTCAGGTAAAGTTGAACCTAGCGCAGGGCAAGATCATGGATTTAATGGTGGGGTCAGCTTACATGCCCTACGATGCAGTTGAGACACCTCCCTCGGAGGAAGTGAAAGACCTTTGCAACCATGTGAAAGAGAGGGGGCTCCAGCTCCTGGAGAGCTGCGCCACGAATTTCCATCATGCAGCATGGGGGAACACCGAAAGCAATGGCAGGGGGGAGAGCCTTCAGGAATTCATTATGGGAGCGGGGCTCAACATCTTCAACAGGGGAAAAGAAACAACTTTCGTTGACCGCAGACGTCAGGAGGTCATTGACATCACGGTGGGGACGGATGACGTGGTGGGCCTGATTAGGGACTGGCGGGTCGCAAATAACCTCTCAGCCTCTGATCATAGGACCATAAGGGTGTCCGTTTACTCTGAGAAGGAAACTAAGAGGAGTAGAAATCCACGGCGAACCATCTGGGAGAAATATCGAGTAAGTCTAGCTG